TGGACTGCAGCGTTTCTCATGTGCGGCTTTTTCAGACAAATAACTTTTACCTGAATATCGTGTTGAATACATCCTGTAATCATTTCGAATCGTCCCAAAGCTCGTACTGCTTGCCTTGCATAATTTTCAGGCGTAACTACGAATAGATTATTAGCTTCATGCACGTCGTACGAAGCAACTTTGGTCGCAACTAACATCGGTATTAGACACTGGAATATAAAAATCACTTTCTCGTAGCGCACAAATGCTCTGTACCTGGATTCGAACGTTTGTGTGACGGAATTCATCGCTAAGACAATCTGAGAAAAACGATATAGCAGCTTTGCTGGCAGGATATGCACTGATATACGGCAATGGACGCCACCCCTGAAATCATGCAAAATCCACACAGGAATTTCAGTCGTTACTGCATACACATAGTGCTGATCATCAAAGTGATACTATCAACTAGCCCTCAGTAATGCCACCAGCATCCAATGCCCTTCTAACCGCCAAACTTTCATTATTTTAATGCTTTCTTTCATCATTTTTACAAATGAAAGACAATATAATGAGTTGCTGATTATGCCACATATATACACTTTTCGAATATTGCTGCTTCATCCTACAACCAAATACAAGCACTCTCTAAAGTAAAGATCGCCAACATACGGTCATAGAAGAGACGTTGACAACGCATCCTTTATTTCTTTTAATCATGCCAGGAAGGACGAGCTCCAACATCTGCAAATAATAAATAAAGAAAGAATATGGAAGTAATCTTGACTAATCATGTCCCTACCTTAACATTCGACATAAGGTTGACTTTGAATATCTTTGATGCTGTTCCTTCAGGCATCTCGATAAAGTTTGCCACCTGGGTGGGAGCAATCCCAGCACAGTTGACTGCAGATGTCAGTTAAAAAATAATAAAAAACAGAGGTCATTGCACTCACACAAAATACCAACATCCATATCTTTCAACTCCTGAGGTAGCTTGTCATAACTATCACATTCAAAATCAAACACGGCTGTTTTACATTCGGCACCATATCGCTCTTCTGAAAGTGTTACGAGATCTTAGTGACGCACCAACCTATTAGGCTGTCCCAGAGTTTTTTTTTGTAACCAACACCAAACATAGTCATACTTCTCAATGTAGAAAGTATATAATCATTGTGTGGGAGGAACAAGGACCATTATGGACGGAATTTGCCATTTTATCGCAATCAATTTTTTCTTCATTCCAGGCAAAGAATACGGGAATCAAATGATAAAATGTTTGATATACCAAGTACTTGTTGGGGTGAATTGAGATTCTATAGGATGTTTTGGAGAGAAGATTTTTGGTTTGATTTACATGCCGTTTTTGAATATTATCAAAATTTGGCTATAAACCTCAAATTATGATTTTGACAGTTGTTTGGTGACCATCTTGTAGACCTTGCTTTGCTCTGCCTTATGGTAACCGAACCTGCACTCAAAAGGGGAGAAACATAAAGACGAAAATTTTTGTAAAATCGAAGAAAAAGTGGTCACTAGAGCCTGATAAAATGTGATCTGTGCGATTTGGACTAGATAATACATAAAATGACCTTATGGGCAACTGCAGAGCTGATTTCCATCAACTCTAAGAAGCGAAACATTGATGATTATCAAAATAAATAAGAAATGTCTTTCCAGCATTTTTCTTCAAAAGCCTCTGCAGAGGACAATTGTGATGCTGCAAGACAAACAGCCCTTTGATTCAACGAGAATGGCGGCTGGAGGCGATCGCGCTCGCGACGCAGTCTGCGTATCTCTCGCGAGCGTGCTCTCTAATCATTCTTTAGCCCTCGCACCTCCGCCTTCCAGCCGCCAGTCCAAGTGAAACAAAGGGTACATAGTCAGTGAACGGAATTACACCTCTCCCGACTGACAGAAAAACTTTATTTGAAAACTTCGTAAATTTTTAAAAAAAGATTTCTGGTGACCTGGAGCAGAGATGGAAGATGCAACATTGCTAGAGCGAATACCTTTGATGATCTGACTCAAACATCTGTCCTACTCAAGTTCAAAGGAAGGACCAATATTTTCCATAAGTAAGAGCGCTTTATTAGGTTGCGGTAAGTGTATGGTATGTGTTAAGATTGGAGATTTGTTTATTGTAGAAAGAACACGGTACTTGACATGCTGTTCAATAATCACACATTCTGCACGCTGACACCTTTTCGCGGGGTAACGATTGGATATGGGATCAACTTCTCAGAATCGAGAGAATTAAAGTGCAGAATCAGCAATAGTATGTAGACAGCTTCATATGCTTCAAAGGTCAATCCACGTTCCAACCTAAACCTATGAAAATCTTACTATGCTGAATAAGCGCCACATTCGTGGTCAGTATATCAGGCACTCTCGAACAAAGCTTCACGCAAACCAACAATTTCATACCCTACCGTGTACCTAATGTAATTCTCCAAAGTGGTCTTGTCGTAAGAGTTGAGCGTTACAATTAGGACTAGCACGCCGGGGGTTCTCTCCTGACAAGTTCAAGCCAAAACTATACTTTAGAACTATTGTGCGCCTACCGTAACCGCGCGGGGTGAGCTTTTGACGGAAACATGA